CATTCTGGTTTCCTGTACTCGTGTGATGATGATGATATCCTTGACAGTGGCAGCATAGGACGGCCTTCCCTTCATTTCAGCACTATCTAATAAATGAATAATCTTCACAAAACTACTTGGTTAGAAAAGGCTTAAATTCACACGAAATATGAACATGTGGTGAAAGAAAAGCATTTTACCTTTGACAGATGATTTTTGTGTAAATTACGTGACAATTTGAACCAGATAAAATATGTGACAAAAGTGTTTGATAGAGCTTTGGATGAGATTTAAAGCTTCTCTTTATAGTTTAGTTTTATTTTATGGATTGATATGAAGTAGAGCTGTCAAACGAGTAATGGTAAATAATAAAGTTTGCATTTACATAATTACGCATGTATACTGTGTGTATATTTACGTAAAAATGTACACAGCCTGACAAAAGTCTTGTTGTTGATCCCAGTTCTAAGAGCAACAAATAATAACTTGACTTTTATCATTTGGATAAGTGGCAGAAGGTAGATTTTTCTGATGAATAATGTTGAACTGCATCCCAATTATCACAAATACAGCAGAAGACCTATTGGAACCCACATGGACTCAAGAATCTCATAGAAATATTATATATATTCAGTATGGGGGGCGTGTCGGAGATCTACAGAGTGGATGGCAACATTAACAGCCTGAGGTATCAAGACATTTGTGCTGCCCATTACATTACAAACCAAAGGAAAGGGCAAATTCTTCAGCAGGATAGCACTCCTCATACTTCAGCCTCCACATCAAAGTTCCTGAAAGCAAAGAAGGTCAAGGTGCTCCAGGATTGGCCAGCCCAGACACCAGACATGAACATTATTGAGCGTGTCTGGGGTAAGTTAGAGGAGGTCGAATCCAAAGAATCTTGATGAACTCTGGCAGTCCTGCAAAAATGCTTTCTTTGCATTCCAGATGACTTTATTAATAAGATATTTGAGTCATTGCAGAGATGTGGGGATGCAGTCTTTAGGGCTCATGGGGGTCATAGACAATATTAATTCTTTTTCCTCCATGACTTTATACTGTACATCATTTCTGTGGAGTGACAAGATTTTTGTTTCAGTCAGACCTTACTGTTGCTACATCCTATTTTATTTTGGTAAAATAAGCATAATCTAGAGGCCTTTGTCTTTCATGTAAGCCTTTTCTGATACCAAATAATCAATTAGAAGTCGTTATTAAAACTTCCTAAAACTTGGATAGGCAACACAACTTCTGTCAGGTCATATATAAATATATATAGTTTTTCAATATTAACTTTTATTTTGAATCGTGAGTAATCATTTGACAGCACTAATTTGAATTAATAATTTTATCTTACACTCTCAAATGTTGTCACAGTTAAAAATGTACTCTTTTTGTTCTTTTTGCATACTAATATGTACACTTTAGAACTTGTAGTACCTTCAAGAGACCGCTATGGACCCTTTAAGTATGTGTGGAAGCTTCGTACACATGATAAATTCAAGAGATATTATAATGTGAATGTTTTCAAGAGATATTGTCTTGATATTTCTGATATTGAAGTAATATCAAGTCATGATCAGGGTAGGGAAAATACATTAAAATGTCTTTTAAAATAAAATACCAATTACCTTAATTCTGAGCGCATCAAAATTTACTTGCAAAATACAGCAGCCACACCACTTTTCAAAATGAAATACTGTATTTTTGTGTTTTAAAAATACAAATAAATTGACATTTCTTTGCAAATCTTCCATTAATAGGATATGACTCTTTTCCTAATCTTTTGTCATTACACTGAAGTAAACAATGATCGATAGCAACAGCTTATCTCTGTCCAAATCATGCAAATCCATATAAGATCAAATATTCACATGTGATCTCCCAGAAAATTAGTTTTAAAGTAACCAGCAGATTAGTTTGCCAATGATGCATAATTGTGTCCTAATTTAGTTCAACTTACACAAGGGCCATCAAACACTGTCGCAGAGACACAGTTTATTGATAAGAATAAAAGTGATGGCTCCTAAACTTACAGCAACTAACTAATTGATCAATAAATATAAATAAATATAAAATATATTCTAATGCAGTCAGACTTCTTATGCAAACAAAAATCTCACTGGATTACTATTAATAGTAAAGAGGAACTGCAAAATCTGAGAGCAAAATTTCCATCCATACTCTAAATGATTTTGCCAAGTAGCCTGCAATGCGATCCTGGATTGACATGTTGATCCTGGAACTTCATTTTCGCTCAAAAACAAAATGCTTATTCCCTATCCCTAAGCCCAATAATAACTGTAATTTATTCCCAAAATCAGAGGGGAATCAGTGTAACCAGGGATGTGACATTGACAACAGGGGTGCGGATCCAAATCCAGGTTTATTAGAATGGTCAGGCAAGCAATGGCCAAGCAATGGAGCAAACAGATGTCTACAGGCAATCCAGAATCATAGTCAATATAACAGACAGATGGTCGCAAGGCAAGGATCAAAAACACAGCAAAGCAAGACAAAGGAAAATGCATTGTAATGTCACTTAACAGATAACAAGACTCAGCAACAACTGTGTGTTTGAGAGGTGTATATATAGTCTGTGTAATCAGTCCAAAAGCAGCTTCAGCTGTGAGTTTCTAATCAATGGTGACTTGGAGCAGGTGAGTGTTGTGTGTGTTGCATGACTGGGATCTGTATTCCATAAACTGGCAGATTTATAGTTGGTGTGACTGAATATTCTCCAGCAATCTCTGGTGGTTAGATCGCTGGTGATCATGACAAACAGAGAGGAATAATAGTTGGATACCAATCATGTAGAAGTCCATAAACCTCATTGTAAGCCTGAACATCACATAAACTGTAAACGTATCTCTTAAATCTGATTGGCTGATTGGAATGTTGTGCTAGCGTAATCCAGGAACATGTCCTATTTGGTGAAATCAGGTTGGCGTAATCCAAACACTATCTTCAATATAAATCAATTTTCTGTTCTGATCTTTAGCATATATCCAAACTACTGAGAAAGCAAGAAAGCTAGACTCCTTACAAAGTATTTTACAGTATTTTAAAACTGGTGTAACCCACCAGTCCTACTGCACCCTATCCTGTCTGAGCTGCTATCAAACCAACGATTTTTGTATGAGAGTTGCTTGCTCTAACAAGGAGGCTAAAGACCATGGCCTCTAGCGTCTGTTGCTACCTTTAGAGGTCACAGGAGTGAGTTTTACCTGCATAGCACTTTATACTATATTTAAGATATTTTCGTAGTCACTCATGTAGCCGTTCTCTCTTCTGGCTAAGACCTTTTAGCCATTCCCAGAACTCGTCTTAAGACTAAAGGTGACCATGCCTTCTGAGTTGTGGCCCCAGGGTTCTGAAACTCTCTCCCTATAGCACTGAGTACTCTAGGATCAGTTGAACTTTTTAAAAAGCATTATACACATTTTTTTGGTCAAGCTTTTAATTAACAGTATTAGTTTTTCTGTACTTGGATTTTTTCTTCTTTTTAACATGTTTATATGGTTAATATGTAAAGCACTTCGTGACTTAATGTCTGTGAGAGGTGATATATAAATAAACCTTTACTTCACTAGCTGGGCTGTTACACTCACCCCCCTAAACCTTACTCCTATCCCGGACGAGCCCCCACATGTAACTCATCGGTCCTACTACAACCAACCAGGCCTGAGCCTGTATTAACCCGAGCATTCTTTGCATAGGAGTCGCTTGCCCTAACAAGGAGGCTAAAGACCATGGCCTCTATTGTCTCTTGCTGGAGCACCTTTAGAAGTCAGAGGAGTGAGAGGGGAAGCATGAGCTCTCGCTCCTTCTCCTGTAAGCTGTTTTAATGCGTACACCAACTCCACCCCTACTCCCCTACCCCCAGTGACATCATTTGTAGAAGAAGTGCAAAAAAGGTGGAGCTCAAGCTCAAGCTCCCCCTCGCTGGAGCTCAGCTCGCCCAAATGGCTCTGCAGCGAGCACCACTTGGAGGTTTACCTGCATAGCACTTCACTAGCTGGCCTGTTTTACACTAGAAAAATTCAAAACAATAAAATATCTTGATACTAAATGCTTCACTTTCATCAATCATATCAAACACAAAATACAAAAAGGATATTTTGTGTTTAAAATACATTTTTGATGTTTCATATATACTATTCCTTGTTACCATACACTTCACTTGAAAGTTGAGAACAAACTTTTAAAGGCTTTAAACAAAAGAGTCAAACAGCTTCATCTAGTGGCGGCTTCAGGACATTTCAAAACAGCTTATTGGAAAGTAATTGAATTTAGAAGAATTCTACTTATAGACGAGGGTTTTCATTTACAATGTGAATGAATATCACATGTATATAATATGTGATGCTTTGATAGGTTGTTGAGGAGGGCATCACCGAAAAAAATGATTCATTGGATCTAAATTGTTTTCAGGTAAGTGGTTGCAAATCTGGACTTAATTTATACAAACAAATCAAGTTGAACTAGTTGTTTAAATTAAGCCCATAAATGTATGCAACACTATTGCAAAAAACATTTTTTGTTTAGATCACATTTGCGTCCTTGTGTAGGCCATTGAGAATTATACAACATAGAGTTAATTTAATTTCACTATAAAATACATCAATTAGCTAGAGCTAATTAGTGTTTTCTATAGTGTAATACACTATATAATAGCTAAAAACCGTTGTTTGGAAATCTTTAGGCCTAATAAAACTGTAAATAATGTCAGCTAGGACATTCTACAACAGAAATATATTTGTTCTCTTTCCAGACAGGATACTGCACTAGAAAAACCCTTTATGTTTACATCTTTACAATTAAAAAAAAAAACAATATGTTATCTAAATTGCTCTTTTGATTAATCAGAGTAGTCGTGTTCTAATCAAATTCACTTCAAATATTATAAGTCTGAAGAGTTTTTGATTGCTAATAGTGAATCAATAGTGAATTTGTTATCTTCTCATTGCCACAAGATGGCGGTACGTAGATATATAAACTCTCGGCTATTAGGCATGTTTATAAGCTAATGTTCACATTCAGAGCAATTTGCCTTTCAATAATCTAAGGTACAAACTGTAGTTCAGTAAAACCATTTCAGTAAACGTCCTTCAGTTATGTCAGATAAAGGACACGACGTCGATTTAACCAGAGCCAAACAAAACACGGGAGTCTGGCTGGTGAAGGTTGGTGATTATCTGTCAGAATAATTTAAGAACATTTAAGAAACTCTGTTTGGGCACAAAACTCTGACTTAAATGATAGAAGGTAGAGCAGAATGACAAAACTAAATTATAATTTGATTTAATCCCTTTTCTTATTAGCTAAAAGTTGTTTGGAAATCTGTAATATCCCCAAAACGGTGTAAATTAATGTCAGCTGCGACATTCTAGTACAGAAATCTCAGTTATTCTGTGCATAGTCAGGAATATTAATTGCACTTGTGAAACTCGTTATGTTTACATCTATTAATTTGAAACCAAAACAGTATGTTATTTGAACAATTATGCTCTTTTGAGTCATCAAAGTAGCAATCATTGTGTTTTAATTAGTGTAAAATTCCAAAGAGCAGATTCCCACAGCTGTGTACAGAGAAAAGGGTCTTTATTTTGAGGTCAGTACAGATTTGTCTGTCATTTAAAATACAACAATGTATTCATAACAAATATATGATGTAAATTACATAAAACAAAGAAAATTACAAATAAATAGAAATCAAAAATTAAGAATTGTGTTGTTTGAACTCATTTTATATTAGTAGAACAAACAACATTTTTTGAGTGTATAAAATACATAATAAAAGTGGTGGTCCTCTGAAGTTGTGCCACTGGTGTTACCGTTTAACAAAAATGGGATTATTTTGAAATAAAAATCACTCTGTTGACCTAACGTGACTTCCTCCTTCTTATTCTTTTAGGATTAAACGAAGAAAAGCTCATTGTAACTCCACTGGCATTTCTCAGTTATCAGACATTTGTCATATCTCATGATTTCATATGATGCTTTTAGTTGGAGTCACTGATGAACTCTTTAATTATTAGGAAACAGTAAAAAAACTACAATATAAATAGATTACTTATTCAGTGACTATACCATGATTTTGAACAAGTGGCTATATACCTTTTGTAAAATGCATTTTTTATAAAAATTGTCATGTGTTACAGTCACTGGTGTTATTTTTCTTCTGGGTAACAACACCACTAAAGACCATTTCTCACTGATGATTCATTTGTGTTACTGTGTTTTTCACCGTCACATTTATAAAAATGTGTCAAGATATGTAATAATTAAAAAAAATATTAATTTAACATGTATTGAATTCTGCTTCACTCAAGATTCACTCAATTATTGTATCGTTTATAAATATTTCTTGTTAGATTTTCATTGTTATAGCAAATATATGGTTGTGGAAATGAACTAAAATCATAACAAACCAGATAAAAAAATACCTAAATATATAGTATTTTATTCTGTTTCTCTCAAAACCCTTGTTCCCTGTAATGCACTAAATGAACTGAGACTCATCATAGCTTACATATTGTTCTAATTTTCTATTGTTGATTGAGCTTCTACTACCATATTATTTCTTTTTTGTTGATTTTGATTGCTTCCATTGTGTGATTTCTCTGCTGAGTTCTATTTTTTCCCTATAAAAAACTAAAAAATCTGACATAGCATTCAAACTATCTCTGACTTTACATAAATGCATGTATATATTTATTTGTTTTTGCTGCTATCAACTTTTTTTTCTGTGTTTTATAACAGTATTCGGTATGGTCAGTATATTGAGCTGCCAAATAGATTACTTTAACAGGTATAATAACCCAAAAACACTCAGTGTATTGCTTTATTGTATATACTTGTTTAGAGAGAGAGAGAGAGAAAAAAAGTTTTTATAGGTTACACTGCAATAAAGTCTCATTCTAAATGTTAATAGATTAAAAAAATCATTATAGTTCTATGTTAAAGTTATTTTTAGTAAACAATGAATTTTATTAGTTGTTACCTTCATTTATTTAAATGATTAAGTTAATCTTACATTTAAGATTACATTTTATACATATTCAACAGGAACTGTCAAGTTGACTTATTTTTTTGGCAATAATATAATCAAATAGACTATTAATTACAAATTTCATTTACTTAATAATTTGAGTGTCTAAATAGTTAGAATTTTTGTGTCATAGGCCAGACTATTGTGAAAATGTTAATGTTTAAAATAAGTTATCTTCAGGCATTTGTGATGTGATGAACATCCACTGCCAATATAACAATCTAAATATGAAAATAAATTTTAATATATATTTATTATAATTTAATATATATTTTTAAAGAAATTTGTTATTAAAAAATATTTATTATTATTATTATTTACACTCAAGACATTCGCTGTAACTACTTATTTGAAATGCGCTGAAACAACACAATTCTTAAGGTTTTTTTTGCAACAACCCAATTGTTTTATGTTCGATCCAGTTAAACAGACCTGAAACTTGCCTTTAGTACTTATTCATTGTTGCTCTTAGTTGTGTAAATTGCTTCCTTGTCCTCATTTGTAAGTCGCTTTGGATAAAAGCGTCTGGTAATGACTAAATGTAAATGTAAATGTAAATGTTAAACTTGTAAAAACAAATAAGTTAACTTATCTTAATTTTTGCTTAACATTTTCCCGTGTTCACTGCACTGAATTAACTAGAAATTCAAATACTTTGCATATTTTTGTTATATTTGTTTTGATTAGTATAAAATTTTCTTTATAACTCGCTTTGTATAAAGTGTCTGCCAAATGATTCATGTAAATGTCACCCCACATCATTCTGTTCTACACACACACACACACACACACACACACACACACACACACACACACACACACACACACACACATATATATATAAATATACACAAACTTTACTGGTCAAAAATGGGGTCAGTAGGATTTTTAAATGTTTTAAAATAAGCTTCTCCTGCTCACCAAAGCTGCATTTATTTGATCAAAAATACAGTTTAAATTGGGAAATTGGGAAATGTTATTGCACTATAAAATAACTGTTCAAAAGCAGTTTATGATTTAATTTAGTAATTTATTCCATTGATTTAAATATGAATTTTCAGCTTTATTACTCCTTTTTTTCAGAGTCACTTAATCCATCAGAAATCACTGTAATATTAATTATTATTACTATTAATGATAATAATAATTAAAAAAATTGACCGGAGTAATAATTAAATTTGAAATTATATACAATATGCCGCCTTGATGACCTTAATCATTGACTTAAAAAAAAATGACGCTAAACTTTATGAATGTATGTGTATATATATATGTGTGTGTGTGTGTGTGTGTGTGTGTGTGTGTGTGTGTGTGTATGTGTATATTATGTGTGTGTGTGTGTGTGTGTGTGTGTGTGTGTGTGTGTATATCTTTTTTTTTGCAAATGATAGATAGATAGATAGATAGATAGATAGATAGATAGATAGATAGATAGATAGGTAATTGTAATTATTATTATTGTTTAAATATAGTTCATATTAATAGCAGTACATTGTAACTTTCCACTTTAATTCGTCTAGAAATGCATTTTAAAGGGACAGGGCTGATAGTGATTAGATTAACAGCGAAGGCTGAATCCAAGTTGAAATCCAGTTGTATCCCTGACAACCATAGCAACACTCTATAAACCAACTTAGTAACTGCACAGCAATGCCATGGCAACCTCACATTAAACGGATCATCATGGTGCCAAGTTACACTCGCTTCATCTGCTTCAGCTGATGTAAACATACTGTATTGTAATTGTGGAGTTATTCAGGCACTCAGTTTTTTTTATTCTGTTTCAAATTACTTATTTAAAATGAGTTGAAACAACACAATTCCACATTTTTTGGATGACTTAATTGTTTTATGTTCAATTCACTTAATATTGTAAAAATCTGAAATGACGATTTATGTTGGTACAACATGAAGGAATTGTGTGGAACCCTGCCTTTTTTTAGACATATGCTGATATTCATTAGTACAGTATACTGTGATAATAAACATATTGATATTGTTAGCACTTATAGTTAAAATAGTTAATAATTATTCAAACTAAACACTAAAGTGTCTTTCAATAATGTTCAGACTGTTGTGTTGGTAGTGCATTATTAATAGGTGATTTAGTTTCCAAGTCTATAAACTAATTTCTTGTTAATTTTTTCATACTAGGTTCCCAAATATCTCTCTCAGCAATGGGCAAAAGCATCTGGGCGAGGAGAAGTAGGCAAGCTTAAAATTGGGAAGTATGGCCTATTTTAAAACCTCAGTTGAAACGGACATTTAATTAAATTTAAATTTTTTTTTTGCCTGAAATTATTGCACTTAAGCATGTTTTACTTTTCCAGAGCTCAAGGGAAGACTGTGGTAAGTATTTTTTTTATTAATATTAAAAAATATATGAGACTGAACCGCTTTGGTAGCAAGACATTTTTATGCATGATATCAAGCAATTGAAATGTATAGGAATAGTGTAAGTATTTGGGTTATGTAGGCTGTAAAGGAGGTGGCTTAAATAAAGAGTTGTTGAAAAGAAAAGCGTTTTATGTTTAAAAACTGAAATCGCTGACCTCAATTGAAATAAATGAAGATCTATATATCGGTTTTCCTTTAATGGGCTATTGGTTGAATTCACATTTAAAGGAACACTTCAGTTTTTATTTTAATAAATCATATTTTACAGGTCTCCTACTGCTGAACAATTGAGTTTTATCATTTTTAAAAAAGTTAACCAATCTCAAGGTCTTGGAGGAGCACTTTTAGCTTAGCTTAGCATAATATATTTAATCGGATTAGACCATTAGCTTCTTGCTCAAAAAATAAATAAATAAATAAATAAATAAAAGTTTCTTATTTAAAAATGGACTCTTCTGTAGTTAAATCATAAGAGCGATGCAAAATGAAAAGTGTCTAAATTCTAAGTAGACATCTGACTCAGACCAGCTGAATGGATTTATAAATGGTAAGACTCAACTGTTTTACTCTAAGGGCTTTTAAAATGAGCCTATTTCCAAAAGGTGGAGAATTCCTTTAATATCCTTTAATATTAAAGTTAGGTCTTGAATTAACATGTAAAAACAAACTATTGTTACTATTATATTAACTGCTATTCTATTGTGTATTTCTGATGCTTTTAATCATTGAATTTGTCATTCATTCGCTCATTCATTTTCTTTTTGGCTTAGTCCCTTATCCATGCCAACCAATCCAGCATAGGTTTTATGTAGTAGATGCCCTTCCAGCTGCAACCCATAACTGGGAAACACACACACACTCATTTGCACATACATTACGGTCAGTTTTAGCATACTCAATTCACCTATACCACTTCTTTGGAAACCAGAGCACCCGAAGGAAACCCACGTGAACACGGAGAACATGCAAACTCCACACAGAAATGCCAACTGACTCAGCCGAGGCTCAAACCAGCAACCTTCTTGTTGGGAGGCAAACGTGCTACCCACTGTGCAACCCTGTTTTAGTTATGTTCTGGTGATCTGCAGTATGATTTTAAACAATCCATCACTCAAAAAAAAGATTTTCAGCACTATTCAACACATTTCTTGATTTTTTTTTTGGAGCACAACTTAATTGTTATGTTTAATCCACTTAAACTAATCCACTAAACTACCTGACAAAAGTCTTGTTGTCGATTCCAGTTGTATGAGCAACAAATAATAACTTGATTGCTTGTAAAACATTTGGAAAAGTGGCAGAAGGTAGAATTTTACTATGAATCAACTGCATCCCAATCATCACAAATACTGCAGAAGACCTATTGAAACCCGCATGAACCCAAGACTCTCGTAGAAATCAATCAGGTTTGGTAAAGGAAAAATCATGATTTGGAGTTACATTCAGTATGGGGGCATTTGAAAGATCTGCAGAGTGGATGGCAACATCAACAGCCTGAGGTATCAAGATATTTGTGCTGCCCGTTACATTACAAACCACAGGAGAGGGCAAATTCTTCAGCAGGTTAGCACTCATTCTCATACTTCAGCCTTCACATCAAAGATCCTGATAGCAAAGAAAGTCAAAGTGCTCCAGGATTGGCCAGCCCAATCATCAGACATGAACATTATTGAACATGTCTGGAGTAAGATGGAGGTATTAAAGATAAATCCAAAGAATCTTGATGAACACTGGGAGTCTTGCAAGAATGCTTTCTTTGCCATTTCAGATGACTTTATTAATAAGTTATTGAAGTCATTGCAGAGATGTATGGATGCAGTCTTCCAAGCTCATGGGAGTCATAGACAATATTCATTCTTTTTCCACTGCACCATGAATTTATGTCTAATTAAAGTGAGAACTTACTGCCCAAATAAATAATTAAAAATCAAGGCATAATCATATTTTATTTTGGTAAAATAAGCGTCATCTAGAGGCCTTTGCCTTTCATATAAGCTACTTTTGATACAAAATGATCAACCAGAACTCAAATTATTATTCGTTGTTCCTAAGACTTGGATAGGACATAAGACTTTTGTCAGGTTGCGTGTTTTTAATAATTGAACATTGGCTAATTAATGATGACATCAACATAATTGGGGATTTGAAATGAGACTTCAGGAGGGATTGATACATACTGAGAAAGTCAAAATCTTTTAGTCAGTTTTCTGGTGAATGAAAACAAACAAGACTTTTCTTCCTGAATTCATCTTTGTAAATACATGTGCTGCTGAAAGGAATTGGTTTTCTTTATATCATATATTAAAATGTCACCGTGGATTTGCATAATTATTATGATCTGACTCTGGGTTGGAGAGCTGAGAATGTTTGACGCATCTTTGTTTGTGTAGACTCTGACGGATTGTTTCCTTAGGTGTCTTTCAATCTGAACGAGGAGCTGACAGTTGTTGATTGCTCCGGGGAGAAGATTTCCTCCGTTCGCTCCCCTAGAGAACATCCATTCACCATGCAGACGGTGGGAGGGCAGACCCTCGCTGTCTTTACAGAGAGTTCAGGTGAGTGTAAACAATACTTTCTACAGTGGTAGAAAGAGTACCATTACTTACCTAAAACTGTAGTGTAAGTAGAGTAAAGTATCTATTGAAAATATTACTCCAAGTGCATGTAAAAAATAGTCCTTTTAAAAGTAGTGAGTTGTGAGTGAAAAAGGCTGATGCATTAACATGCAATTTGTGCGTGTGTGAAAACGTAATATTCTGTAGTGCATTTATTATTGTTTAAAGCCATTTCAGTCATCATATGATAGATATCCATCAGCTTCTTATCAGTAAAGTGCAGCCTATAAATAATATCTCGGCCATTGTGTGTTAAGATTTGTGATTTCTGTGTCTTGAGGATGTTCTGTTTGATGCCATTTGATCGAACGGGAATCACAGGACTGATTATTCTACATTAGCCAATCACCATAGACAAAAATAAAGTAGTGACTAGAAGGGAAAATAGTGGAGTAAAAGTACAGATACAGCTCTAAAAAAAGGAATCATGGTACCAATCAGCATTAAAGGGATAGTGTATAGTATCTTAGTTCATAGTAGTCTGAAAATTCTGTCGTGATTTACTCACACTGCTCTTGTCACAAACCTCTTTGATTTTCTTTTTCCTTTTAAACATAAAGATTTTGAAGAACATTGGAATCTGGCAGCCTTAAAGGGCGCCTATGATGAAAATCAACTTTTGTAAGCTGTTTGGACAGAAGTGTGTGTAGGCATAGTGTGTCCACAGTCATATTGGAGTGATATAACCCATCAAGCCGTGTATTAACATGTCATTGTAGTAACGCGTATAATCATATCAAAAAATAAATCAGGTTTATTTTGTACATTAACATAACGTATGTCCAAACAGCAGTGTGTCTTAACATGTATCCTGTCACATTTGCCTTGCAAAAACAGTGCAAAGCTAAATTTGTGTTTTGCGCATGTGCACTTTATATCGACATTGTTTGTGACTCGTCGTTGCAAAAAGACTTGAATTATGTTCACAAAAATTACATTAGTTGGGAAAGTTCTTACTGTAGTAAGGGAGGTCTGCTTCATCATTGTCTGTCACTGTGATGTTTATCTAAATAAAGGCTATGGCTCTGACACGCACGTTGGAATGGTGGGCAGGGAGAACGAGAACATTAAAGGCACAGGCAACAAAAACAGGTACAATGTCCTAACAGCTCAAATTTCCCAGATATATAAAGATATAATACATAATATGAGGAGTATTTTGAGCTGAAAATTTACAGACACATTCTGGATACACAAAAAACAAAAATCTTGAAAAATGGGTAAAATATGTGCCCTTTAAGAGCTTCACAGTATTTTGTCTTACACACTCCGAAGTAAAGGTACAAAATCTGACAACAAATTTTTTTGTTCCTTACAGGTGCTTAAAGGTATATTAATATCTAAAAAGTACTTCAAGAGTTCACACTTAGCTGTTGATTTACAAAGCTTATTTGGCATGCTGTCCCGGGAGAGAGCCCCGAGCTCAAGGGCTCCTCGAGCCCGGGGCTTCCTCCCGTTGGCAGAGCAAGAAGGGAGCCCGAGCTCGGTGGATCTCAGAACTCCCCTGCCGCTGTAGCTAAGGGAACGTAAGGAATTAGACAAGCTTGATTGTTATGTATGTTGAATGTCTTTGGATGGTGGGAGGAAACCGGAGAACCCGGGGAAAACCCACGCGGACACGGGAAGGACATACAAACTCCCCACAGAAACACTCACCGGTCCTATAGAACTAGGACCGGCAGTATTCTTGCTGTGTGGTTCACAGTGCTAACCACTGGACCGCCGTGCCGCCCAATCGTAGGTAAAGGAGGAGAATAGGGGAGGAGGGGGGTTTCTTCCAAACGAAGATAAAGTGAACTGAAAACTGAGGCTATTTATGGTGCCTTAGGGCTCATATGATTGGAAGATTAGTGATTAGCAAATACGAGACTGGACGTGATAAATCATAAGCACGTGATCCTCTCGAAATTAGTGCATGAATAAACTTTACTAATGCGTGCCTCTGAGTACTTTATAGATACAAAAGTGAACCTGAAACGTACCAAAGTGAATCTTAAAGGTACAACATGTTCCTCTGTATGTTATAAATGTTTACTTTTTAAAAAGGTATCGCCCCAGTGACCGATTTTGTACCTTTAGTTTTGAGTGTGCAGTATGGAAGTTAATGGTTACTGATTTCCAACATTCTTCAGAATATCTTCTTTTGTGTACAACAGAATAAAGAAACTCAGTGAGTAGTGAGTAAATTTTATGAGTTTTATGAAATATTAACATATAATTAAAAGTTGTAGCCAATTTCTCATTTATACAAAGTAAGCAAGCAATAGTTAATAGAAATAAATGCTATTTGGCTATTTTGAAATGTATCACTGTTAGCCAATAACTGTGCCTGCTTGGCTGGTTAACTGAAGAAATCATTCCATTTAGTGACGGTTCCAAAATGAAAAGCCAGCCTTGCAGATTGGCCGTTTTAAAATATTTGTTATATTTGTTTTTGGTGTAAAACACATTTTTTTTCTATAATAATGCAGTTTGCATAATTAAGTTTGTTTTGTATGGGTCAAAGACAAAAAGTGGGTTTCAACTCTCAACTCTCAAAGAATAAAAGGTGTATCAGCATCAAGTTTAATTATTATTCTTACTATTTATTATTATTTTTTATTTAGCTACTTTTTGTGTAGAATGAGTCCTCTATATATTTATATTTTATTCCTGAGTGTAGGATCATGTCCATCATACATTTCCCTCGTGATTTGCAGATGCCAGCCACTAAAATGTTATTTACCCATTTTCATAAAAGCATAGTTCACCTAAAAATGAAAATTTCCTCACTAGAGATTTAAAAAAAGCAAGACCTGTAACCATTGACATCCATAATAGGAAAAACAAATACTATAGAAGTCAATAGTTACAGGTTTCTAGCTTTCTTTAAAATATCTTATTTTGTGTTCAACAGAATAAAGAAACTTTTAAAGGTTTGGAACACACAAAGAGTGAGTAAAAATGACAGAATTTTCACAATCTGGGTGAGCTATGCCTGTAAGGTGTAGGCTAAGTTCCATATTTGAGTTTTTTTAACTGAAAGTAACTTGCAGTGAGATATCTTCAAATACATCAGTGCCATTGTTTGGTCTCTAAATGCACAGCAGTAATTGTTCTAAGGTATTTGTTTTTATAATAGCAGCTTTAATGGCCTAATTTGTCTAAGATTCTAATCCTGGATTAAATCCTGTTCATGAGATCACAAGAGGGTGGAGCTATACATGCCTACTGGATGTGTCAGCATAGCGGCAGTTCAAAACTTTAATTGGCTGGATGGCTGCTTCTCACTTAAGGCTCTCTATGCCAATGAGGAAGAGATTGTCACTAATGGGCGGGTGTTTCCCCCTCTGATGACTTGTACAAAGATACAATGTCAATCAAAGTGTTTCTGCAAGCTTGTTTTTCTGAAGTGCAATTTATAAAACATAAAATTAATACATTTTTACTCTTATAAGGCTGGCTATTTTCACACACTGTTGACGCATAACTGTGTTTAAAGGTTCACGAAACACCAAAACACTTTTTTTTAAAAATGTTGACAGTCATATATGTGTCCCACATTGGTAAAACACTATTAGGACACATATATTTAGCTAACAAGTTAAATTGGTTGTTTTTGCATGTTTGGAATAAATTTGTTCTTCTGGTTTAAAAAGAAATTTGAACACAAAGTCACAGCAATGAGATCCTCATGTAAATTCCAGCATGAAGACTGGATGTCTTTACTGGCAGGTGTCAACTCAAGTGACGTCATTGAGTTTTTAGCACATCTGATCATTAATTAATGTGAAAAACTTTTTCGAACCAATCAGAACGCTCTATTGTGAATGAGATGCAACTTCATTAATATGCATGATATAGCTATAAAGACTGTTTTTACCTGTTACAATGTTCAGGTGGCAGGGAGACACCACGTTGTGTTGCCAACCGTAATTAAAAGTGGAAGTAGAAGAATTGTTCAGAAACATTGGTCGTCAGTGTTAAATGTGCCACAACAATGGTTTTGTTTCCAGTTCCCCGCTATGAGAGCGCAGCTTGTGTGTGGATTACAGTGGTCTGCTAACATGCAACAAAAATGTTTGTGAGAAACATTTTTACCCGAGAGCTTTTCACATCTGGAAATGGTGAAGTCCGGATTTGCACGCTTATCTTCTTTTAAAAAAGACACAGTTCCAGTTGATGTTGAAAGTCTTGTCTCTACAGATTTGGTGATCAAAGTTCTTTGTTTATGTTTATTCAGATGGTAAAGTTAGTTAGTAGGGGTGTGAACCTACACTGGTCTCAAGGTTCGGTTTGGTTACGATTATCTTTCCATTGATTCGGTTCAGTTCGATATCTCAGTGCATCACATTGACAATGCTTTCCATACATAACTAGATTTTTTCTTCACAACACAATAATGAGAGCTCCCTCATCCTCCAGAGGCAGCAATGGCCCGTATCCAGTGAAGAAAGGTACCAAAAATGTCAACATAACATACTGTTTTTCCGTGGCTCAATTGGAATATTATCAAGCTACGAGAGTACATTTGTGATAAATAAATAAAAAATAACTCAAACTAAACTTTAACTAAAAAAATTACTCAACTTGCATCAGTCAAACTGACTAAAATATTAAGTTAAACTTTGAATAACTTTAAATTTAGTTGAAACCTGATTAACATACTAAATAAGTTAAAGCAACATAAAAATATTTGTTGTCTTGACTTTTTGTCATTACATTTTTTTTTAAAGTGCAGTTTCTGATGTATACCACAGATGAGTTCCTCTGTTTAAAAGAAAGCACATGTGCATCTGCATTTGTATTTCAGCAGTGCGACCAAAGGTGGAAAGTATAAAGAGCACAGCTGTTTTTTTTTTTTTTTATTTATTTAAATATTGGAAATTGTAATCATTTACTTCCATAGTATTTTTTTTTTCCTTCTATGGAAAGTCTATGGTCACTTTCTTCAAATATTC